TTTTCCAAGTATTTATATGTTATAATTTCAAGAATAGGCTTGTTTTTAAATATTTGTATGGCTTATAAATTCATAAAGAGCATTAAAAAATAACCAAAATTAAGTGTTCCTTCACTTGGTCTTCTTACTACTTGTTATTTGAACCTCCAAGACTTTAAAACAATATTATGTAAGTTCTCCACAATTTTTTTTACATAATTTGCAATTAGTAACAAATATGTTGACATTGTCATTTAACTAAAATTACGAATTTTGAAATTAATATGATTTTTTAAAAGGCAAGCGAAGCTTAAGTGTTCCTTCACTGGTTAGTTTACCCTATTAAGATTAATATCTCTATGCTTGAATGGACTACAAAAGAAAACCTTCTTTTTTCCTTTTTTCTCCTGTATCGGTGTGCTTAAATACGTTGCATTTTTCTAAAATTAAATGGATCAAAATAAATAAACAATAATTACTAATTTATATAGTTAACTAAATATACATTTTATATTCAATACAATAAATAGATGTAAAATTTACAATTAACTTTATTTCGAACTAAAACCGAGATTTGTAGCAATTAATATTTTTAATCATCCAATCCAAACTTCCACACCAGCGGTGTGAGCAACGCTTTAACCAACTGTGGGAACGGAGCGGTAAAGTGTAGTAGCAATTGATTAAAAAAAATATATATATAATGAATCTTTAAAATTAATTTAAATGCTAATAATAATGATGAAAATTTTTTTTAAAAAAATCATGAATCTGTGATAGGAAATTTATACTTCCAGTATATGGATAAAAAAAAATTAAAAAAAGAAAAAGTTATGTAAAAGTTGCTTGAATTTTAAAATATTTACGCCGATTTGAAGCAATCACTGATGATTTTAAGTCCATGGTCATATATAAAAAATAAATTTAAATTGAATTTTTTTTTCCTCTCTTTTAGAAATACATATTTTTTAAAAATCTTTTTATCAGTTTAAGCAGCTATCAAATATACTCATATAACAAAAAGTTAAAAGCATTCATTGAAATAATCGTTTATAGGCAAGATAGATTTTAAAAAAATTAATTGGATTTCGGAAAATTTCATTGCTGAGCACTAGCTCTCATGACAATTGGGATAAAAATGAATCACAAAATAAAAAATATTGAAAAAAATATATCTAAAACATAATAAGTTGAGTAGTAGTTGTTTTTGAAAGTTAATTTGGCTAATACATTCGATGGTATGCAACTTAAATAATTAATTTTAAAAAATGTATAAATATATGTTGGAAGAAAAAAAAACATAAAATTCTTTCATAGAACTGGTACTTTAAAAAAAAATTATGTTCATAAAGGTGAATTTTGGACTGATATTTTGTTTTGTTTTCGTTATTTTAGATCATTTCCTGAACTTAATCATCTAAATAAGAATTCTAAGGTTAAAAAACTGATTGAAATTGTAAAAAATATCAAAACATATAAAACAAATTCTTTAAATAAAACAAAGAAATAAACGAAACCTCATCAACTGTGTAAAAAAATGTTTTTCCTACAAAAACGTCAAAAAAATGCAAAACACATAAAAACGTAGGTAATTGAAATATTTTATTCTAATAATATTTTATTTCATTTCATATTCTTTTTTAATTCATTAAATTAACTTTTAAAATCTTTGTACTTTATTCATGGGCAGACTATCAAACAATGAAAAAAAATAGAGATATAAAACTGCAAAGGGAATTCCGATTTTTAATAGCACAAGTGCAATTTAGTCATGAAAACCTTTGGGGGATATTAAAAATCCAGTTCAATTAATACAAACGAGATAACTAAACGGAAAGCAATGAAAAGAAAAGAAGAAAAAAAAAAGACATTTCAAATAGGAAATGCTAATCGTCAACGGAGCGGAATTATTCATCATTTAATTTTTTTCTCGTTCCCCCTCTCTTTTATAAAACTTCTTTAGAGCAAATAAATACAGAGAAAAAGTATTTTTCCTCTAGCACATTTCATTTTATTTTTTCTCCAGCCACCCCCCCCCCTCCGGAATGTGAGAGGGAGCTTTCTTTTAGTGAAAAAGATTTTATTCACTGGCAAGCTGCCAAGGTTGCTATGACTACTATGAAACTTGTCTTGACGGGTCACGATGTTGATTTTTGCTGAAAAACCAATAAGATAAAACTGAACCCCCAAGAATAAGTTAGAACAGATTTGTTGTAAGCCTTTTGGCGGAAATAGGATATTATTTATTCAATTCA